AGACGGAATCTACTAAAAGAACTTTATTATATTGTATGAATTGAACACCACCTTTATATGTAGCAAATGGTTTGGTTGAAACAACAAATCTGTACTGGCAGCATAAAAATAATGTTATATAAAATAAATCACACTGTAAGGAGGAAAATCCTAAGAATGTGAGTAGGTTCTACACTGATACTGACTAATATAAATGATTTTAGCAGAAGGAGAGAGAATACATAATATGACAGATACTGGATTAAAAATCAGTTTCCCAACAAGTTTTAGTTTTGATTGCCTGACACCACTAAATGAAAAATAGAATGCAATTGTTCATTATGTCTAAGGCTAATAATTTTGACACAGTGGACACGTCTACATGAGACGTTTACTGCAGTTGACTAGCTCCACAGTAAACATTTCACATCTACACATGCACTCCTATTAGGTTGGAGTAAACTAATTAACTCTGTAACAGGGTAGCACTTGTAAATACAAGTACCTTACAAGTACTTGTGTTTACAAGTGCTACCCTGCTGTGGAGTTTTTTACCCTGCAGCAGTGCACATGTAGACACTCCCCAAGCTGGCTGTGGTGCAGGTATGCTTTAGTGTGGGGGGGCTGCCTGCCAGCTAGCCCTACACTGAAGCACCCTTGTGCCCCAGCCAGCCCCTCCACAGCACATTAAGCCAGGGGGAGTAGCCTCAGGCTGGCAGGCTCTAGAGTCCCCTGCTACCTGGGGCTGTTCCAACCTGGCTCAATGTGCTGTGTTCTCAGGTGCACATTCAAACAGCACACCCAGAGGAGCAATAAACTCTGGAGTTTATTGCTTTGCATTAATTGCTTGTGTAGATGTGCCCAGTAATTCCTAGTAAATTTTATGAGAAAGGTTAAAAAAAATATATGTAAAGGTTACCAATGTACATAATTTTCAAAACACCACCAATACTAAGAAATATAATTAAAATAATTGACTGTGGAAAAGTTTAGCTCTTACTTTACTTAACAGAATAGAGGTGGTTGCAGGTAGCATTTCCCTTGATTCTGAAAAATGTTCCACATAGAGGGCGCATTTACAGGAGACGTGACAGCACAGTGCACATTTATTTAGTACTTGTATAAGCAAGAACTAAATAAATGCACAGCAACCACTGCACAGTAGTGTCTCATGTAGATGCACCTACTATGTACAACTAGAATTACTGTGCAGTAGTGCTGGCAAATACCTTTTAAATGACACTATTGCACAGTAGCCTAATACTCCTGTGCAATAGTGTCTCAGCACAGTTTCTGCCATGCAGCGCTACTGTGCAGTTGTATCAGGCTACTGTGCAGTCAGTGTCTTCTGTAGATATACCCAGTGAGGTTGTTATTCTTGATTCCATCTGTCATCTTGTAAGATATATTTTTAGCATGAAAATGATCTTTCACACTCTGGAGTGCAAATGGGTACCAGTACATTTCTCAGAGCACTAAGAGCCAGTGCTGGAAGGCTATTTTAATTCACACCCAGCTACAACAACGTTTAAGCACTTTTGTATCACAGATTGCACTGATGAAGCCAAGCCACCAAATTTGATTTTTGCCAATGCATTGCTCTCAAATTTGGGAATTACCAGTAGCAATGAGGTCAAGAAGTTAAGCTGGTTTGGGATCAAATAGTGGGTACAAGCTGCAAAAACTGGCAGCCAGCTGGCAAAATTACACAGCACCATTTCATATAGGTTTTGATTTTCCTACTGCTTTTGGTAAGTGATTTCATAGCTAACGCATTTGTCGTTTGATTGACCTTAAGATTTCACCTAGCTGACAAGCCCAGCCAAATCACTTTCCATTTATGTATTCTGATTTCTGTTTTTTCATAAGCAGTGAGAGTTGACACACTTTCAGGACAAATGCTTCTATAGCTGAAACATGTCTATTTAATTCTGCTGAGCCACATCTTCGACTGCTGAAATACAGCTGTGTTCACTGTAGTCACTACTGCTGTGGATTTACCATGAGATCGTTTATACTAACAAAAAGTGACATTAAATAACAATGGAATCCAAATCATAGAACCCAGGGCTTAAGTGGGATTTTAATTATTGTGAAATCTCCTGGAAGGGCATCAACAGTACTCAGCTACTAAAGCAAGTTTTTTAATTGTGCTGGGGACTTTTTTTTGTTAAAAGTGTGGAGAAACCAAATATAGGAGCAAGCTGTTCTTGATTTGTTGCTTACTAAAATGGAGGGAATTTTTTGAGAAACTGGACATGAAAGATAACTTAGATGATGGTAATAATGAAATGGTAGAGTGAGCCCATGATGCTAAAAAAGAATGGTTAACAGTAGAATAAAAGTACTGTAATTCAGCAAAGCAGACTTAAACAAACTTGAAGCCAATAGGGAGAATCCCAGGTAATGCAGGTTTAAGGGAAAAAGGAATCTGGGCTGTTCCTTAAAGAGTCAATATTAGGGGCACAGGAGCATGCTATCCCAATAAGATGAAAAATAGGAAACACAGCAAGAGACCAGCTAACTAGTCAACTCTTTAATAACAACACTTAAAATGTAGTCCTATAAAAAGAGGAAATTTGGCTATATGTAATTATGGATGAGTATAGGACTATAGGAAGAGCATGCAGGGACAAAATCAGGATGGCCAAAACACAAATTCAGATATGCAAGCAAGGGACATAAGCGAGGTGGGGGGGGAAGCATTCTCTAAAATAGGTCAGAAGTAAGAGGAAGACATGGAGAGTATAGATCCTTTACTGATTAGGGAGGAGACGTTAATAATATATGGTGCAGAGTTTAATGCCATCTTTACTTCAATGTTCACAACAAGGGGCAAGTATCAGATGCCAAGTGTGGTTGGAAACAAGTAGACTAGATGAGAATCAGCCTAGAAAAAGGAAAGCACAGGTTCAAATTTACTTAGGCAAGATGAATGTTTTCAAATCAGCAGGGCCGGATGAGATTTATCCTCAAGTATTCAAGAAACTGGCTGAAGTAATTGCAGAGGCACTGGTTGTTTTCTCAGAGAACACATACAAGTCAGATGTTGTTCCACAAGACTAGAAAGGGGCAAATATAATGCTTACCTTTAAAAAAGGAAAAAGCAGGACCCAGAAAATTACTGTCTAACTTCAATATCTGGATATTTCAAGAACAAGTTGTGCTTAACCAACCTGATTTCTTTCTGTGACGAGTGATAGATCTTGAGGTTAGTGGATATAATATACATTGATTTTAGTAAGGCTTTTGATACTCTCATTAGTAAGCTAAGAAAATATGGTTTAGATGAGCTTATTGTAAAGTGAGTGGGATGAAAGAATTTGACTCATTTAGTCTCAAGAAAATATAGAGAAAATATGACTAAAGATAGATTTGATGACAGACTTCAATTACAAAGTTGGTTGCTATAAAGGTGGTGCTGATCAACTGGTCTTTGTGTTCACGGGCAACAAAATGAGAAATAATGGGCTTAAACTGCAGCAAGGGAGATACAGGTTGGGTATTATGAACAACTGTCTACTAAAAGGGTGGTTAAATACTAGGAGAGATTACCTATGGAGGTTAGGGAATCTCTATTTCTGAAAAATTTTAAGTGCAGGTTGAACTAAAATTTGTCTGGAATCAGTTAAAAAGGGATGATCCTGCCTTGCTCAGGGGATTGGATTAGATGATTTCTTGTAGTTTGTTCCAGGTCTATTTTTCTATGATTCTATGAAGTACATATTTCAAGTCAACTATCTGAAAACAATAAACAAGGGAGCCTGATATCAGAATCAGTTCTTATTAACTATTTAGACATTATTATTTGCTCTCAAACCACCCAGGTGAACGCTTGTTAATTCATAAATGCAAATGATCAGCTCATGTTATTCATGAGGATTATTTTTATTGCAATATCATATAATATACAAAGTGCTCAAAATTAACTTAACTTTACTCCTGCCATCATCAATGATATAATGTCCAATAATTCCACGGGAACTAAGCTGGCACATTTCTGAATGGTATTGAAGATTCCACTTATACTATACACAAAGCAGGGTACGCCTTCATGGTTAGCAACTCAGTCACTTCTTCATTCATAAAATGAGGTGATGTCTATACTAGTCATCCTACTAATCATACTACAGCACCGATTACAGCTCATATAGAGATGCCTGAGCTAGCTTTAAATTAGCTAGTTTGGGTACAATTAGCAGTGTAGTTGCAGTAGCACAGAGCTCACCATAGGTTGCAAAAATGGCCAATAAGCTAAGTAAATAGTCATTTAGCCTGCAGTGAGCTCCCTGCTACTGCAGCTGTACTAAAGCAGTACCCAACCTAACTATTTTAAAGCTAGCTCAAAGCAATGAATGCTGTGTGGCTATAATCTGAAATTCCGCAGAACAAGGAGATAGCAAATTTTCCCATGTTATGGACTATTTTTTTATAAAGACTGTCTGGTGGACTATATGACCTCTCATTACAACTGAATGGACCATTTTACATCCTGGGGCTTGATTCTGCTCCCACTTACTTTAATGGAACAAGATCAAGTCACATATTCTCCTCACAAAGTATGTATCCCTATGGTAAGGGAAGAAATTACTGACATGGAAAAGTAACATTTGGAAAAGAGTTAATTTATGCTTTAATATTCCTAATGCAATGATGCAAGTGTAAAATTTAAAAAAGTGAGAAGAGGGTATCTCTGTAGATGACTAACAAGAGCACTGAACACAATGTGTTCTCTGTGACCAAAGCTGGGGAACCTTTGACTTAGAATATAAAGAAAAACAGTTATGAAAAATTACAGTTCCTTTTAAATGACTAAGGATTTCCCATAACATTATGAGTTTTTATAAAGGTCATGTTATTATTACCATAATTATCCCCAGAAGCCCAAATTAAAAAACTCTGCAATTTTACAGAAAATATCAGGACTTGAATCTAAACACCATTTAATGCAGATTATTCACTACAAAATCTGCAACAACCACTGTACTTTGTTAGTAAGAAACAACCAAAAACATTTTTACCAGTCTTGGGTCAATTTCTTCATTAAGAACTGCTTCATTCTTAATAAGGGCAACTCGCTGTGCAAATCTACAAGTTGATATTGATTCCTGGAAGGGAAAACAATATGAATCATTTAGCCTGCAGTGACATGAAGTGATTAGCACTCAGTTGTGAATTTAGCAACATTTTTAAAGAAGTATTTTTTCCTATTATATTTTACAGCACCAACTAGATACCCCAGGTTTTCACAAAATTTAAAACTGAAATATTCAGGGCAAATGATCTATTAACAAAGTAATGAAACTGCCATATAAAACTCTCAAAACAAAAACACGCATCAAACCATAACATCACCTGACAGCCAGGTTCTTCTCTCTCTTGTACTCTTGATGACCCTGTAGCTAGCAACAAGAAGAATGAAGGAGGAAGCCATTTAACTCAAATGCAGAGATCAAAAGCCAGACCCAGGGAAGAAAGAGAGTAGACTGTGAATCTGGTTAAATGGCAGGGTGGGCAAGAAGACTGGGAGCTGGAGGGGATGGAGGGGAAGCTGCAACTTTTTGGATAAGAAGGCTGGGACATGGTAAGGGAAAAAGGGCTATGGACTAGGAGCATGTTAGTACAGAGTAGAACAATAAACTTGGATGATAATCTGAGAACATGGAGATTCTGGCAGTGGTTCAGTAAAAAGACTGGTTCAGCAAAAAAGGCACAGGGATAAAGAGCTAGGGGTGGCAGGAACACAGGGTTTGAACTGGGGCTACCTGGAGGGCTAGGCAGAAAGGGTCAAGCCTGGTGGAGGAATAGACACAAGTGTTTGTGCATATAAATTCACACTGCCTCCCAGGGCATGGCATGGAACTAAAGATCTCCCAGTCACATCATTCCCCTGCTGTCAGTAGGTATAAACAGTAGGTATAAACAAAACCCACAGGAAAGTATGTTCTTCACTCCACTATAATGCTAATCCACATAAGGGCTCAAAACAAATTGCTGCCACCAGTTCAGTGCCAAAGGTTTAAGTGGTAGATGTAAAAGTCCCAATTTTGTTAATTAACCATGTCAGTGTGAATTGGATGCCACATACCACCCTAAGAGCACGTCTACATGTTGCCCTATGGCGATGTAGCAACACGTTATGTCACTATGGCACGCTATGATGATGTAGCAATCACGTAGGTCTACACATGATAGCCAGCTATGTCACTGTAGCAGCTCACTCCCCTGGTATAGTGCACCGCTATAGCAACGTAGCGGTGAAAACTACCCATGTGCTGTGCGCACGGCACAGTAACTGCCCATACTGTGCCATGCTTTACCAAAAGGGAGTACTAAAGCACAGCACTGTAGCAACATCACCATATGGTGACATGTAGACACGCCCTAAAAGAATAATATTAATGTTGCACAGTCAAGCACTCAAAAGATAGGATATGCCAGAGCTAAGGCTGCCTGTGCAATTCTAATTCAGCTCTCTTGTGAGAAAGCAGTTATTACATGATAACATAGTATTTTTCTCAAATGAACCTTCTTATTAAGCACAAAGGATAATGATTATTGATTGAGCAGCTAGTCAATACTTTGTTTTATTCTCAACGTTTAATGTCTGGTCCTTATAGGCTGCATGTTATTTAAATCCTATTCTAGGAAAAATGATTTTTTTTCAGATTGGTTTTTCTATGGTGATTATCAAAAGCTTCATAAACATAAATTAATTAGTTTTCAAACATCACTTTGAAGGGAGGGGTGGTATTGTGCTCATTTTCTAGAATGGAAATGAAACTCCAAAAAAAGCAAGGTAAAAAATATCCATTAATTTTGGGTGCTTGACCTGAGCTAATTAGGACATGCTTTTTTTTCAGATTACTTAACATTACACTAGCATTTTCTGTAAAGTGAAAGATTATCATCTCTTAACTAGCTTAGTTCTTTCCACTGTACTTCAGAGAATAATCTAATTTTCTATTCATTTTAGAATGTTTTGATGTTATGGAAGGTTATGGGTTTGCTATGAAACATCTAGAATATATCTGATGCTAAACTAAATAAGGACTAATGTACACAAGGATGGGAAACTTGGTGAAGGCTGCTAAAAAACCCGAGCCGCAGAAAGACCAAAAAACACAACCTTCCAAGACAAAAACACCCCAGCCAAAAAACCCTCAGTTCTCCTCAATACCAAATGGATAAACTCCTTGCTCCACTGAAGTCTATGGGAGTGGAGTTTTGCCATAGATTTAAGTACAGTCAGGGTTGCGGTCCCTTATCAACACGCTGCTGGGAAAATTCCTGGCCAATTTCTACTAAGAACTCACATGATACTTCATCATGAAGAATTTGGTGTTAACATTTTGAATTTTCTTGTGTTCATCATTAGGAATGGCTGCTCAATCTGTTTTTCTCCTCATTTGACCTTATTTAAGGAATAGCACCATTCATAATGGATATGTTAGAGCTAGCTGATGGACAAGATATGCACGTACATAATTAATCAGGATTTAACTCTGACACATAAAATCAGTGACTGGACCAAAGGTGATGATATTTAACAATCATACTATAATTTCCATTAACCGGGCTGCATTCCAGAGACATTCTAGAGGTAATGGGAAGAAAGATTTTTAAAGGGACAGTGTATCATTGATGACAGCCTACATACGTGCAATATAAACTATAACAAATTCAGGGGGGCTTTTACAAGTGAAAACAGAGTACTCTGTTAATTGAAATGGATAACATACATCTATGTTTCTCTTGTCTAAAGAGAGTGTCGCAATCATGGTGGTCATGCAGTTCCCTCCCAGGCTGTCTCTTAGCACCGAAGTCATCATAGAATTCCTGTAGGGAATATGGGATCGATGTTTCTCAGCAAGGGCAATTATTACCTAAAAACAGTAGCAATGCACAAGACTTAAATCTGCACATGACCATTTGCATAGAATGAGAAAAAACTCTGCCATACAACCTAAATCCCTGAGCTGCAAAGACTTATATTTGTGCTTACCTTTAAATCTGTTGATTTCAAATTAATTATTTACATGCTTAGAAATTAGGCATACATATATGACTTTGCAGGATCTGGGTCAAAGACACCATATAAAAGTGGGTTTTGTCATGCTTTAGCTTTGTTTTGCAATTTCTCAGCAAAAAGGAAATGGACATATAATAAATTTTCACTAACATACAAGCTACTGTATATGAAGAATTAAATTAAGTTCATAGGGGTATTTCCTCTTATATACTGTTGAAGAAAAATGTAGACATTACACTAAAAGCTTCCTTTACATAAACTAACTTGTTTTCAAAAATACATATTCTCAAGTTGTGTTGTTCTCCTTCATATGCTTGTTCTCTTACTTTCTATGGAATCTCGTGAAAACTGTACATGTAAAAATATTTTAAAGCTATACACTGGGCGTGTCTACACATGCAAATAAACGTGACTAAATTTAATGGGCATTAAGCTAATGCACATTAAATGATTTTTGGCAGGTGTCTACATATGCAGAGACTTAGGACTAAACTTAGTGCACTTGACACTAAACAGTGGTGACGCATAGGGGATGCACGGGGGTGCGTGTGTACCCCCTGAGAGCACTGGTGCACCCCCTGACAGCCAGCACTCCCTGCTTATGCGATGGACAGTGGGGGCAGGTGGGAGCGCTGGTGCCCCTCAGGAGCGCCAGCTGGGGAGTGGGGGTGCCAAGAGAAGCACCACTGGCACTTCCGGGTGCCCCACTTGTGCTTCCCGTTCAGTGCGATCGGCCGCTGGGAGAGGATGTGCCCTCCCCCGATTCAGGAGGTACCAGCCAGCCATGGCACTAAAAGTTATTCCCAAGTCCCTTCAGCCCTGCCATGTGTCCCTAAGGCCACTGGGGGGAACTCCAGCCTCCAGCACTTGGCAGCCATCTTGGAAGCCTGATCCCTTCCCTGCCCAGGAGCCATGTGCCCAGGGTGCAGGAACAGCATGCTTCAGCTCTCTCCCTGCCCACCCTGCCTCCCTACACCACGGTTGCCCCTGCCAGTGCCAGTGCCCCACTGCTCCAACCTGGCCCCTACCATCGATAGCCAGAGACCTGCACTGCTACTGGCCATCTTGCTGGTCCTGCTGGCCCCAGCTGGATCCCCTGCCACCCAGGCCCCAGTAGAGCCACATGACTGCCAGAGGGAGCCAGAGCACCAGTTGCAAGAGGCCATGCCTGGCCCCCTCCTGCACTCCCACTTCAGCCTGCCTGCCCTGCCCTGCCGCCCACACACCCCCTAACCTCTGCCCACCCCCAGCACCACTCTCAAGACATGCACATAGGTGAAACAAAAAAACCTTTACTGCCTTCACAACCCCCACCGCCATCCCTCACCTCTCAACAAACAGTGCCCTTCCACCACCCTCCCCAGCCACCAACAATAAAAAAACCACTTACAAGAGGCACTCTATATACATGAGGTGAACTATATTGAAAACTATTTACAATATTTTGGCTGTTCAAGCCCAGAGTTGAGAGACATGGAGGGGCCCTAGGGGGCAGAGCCCTGGGGCAGGTGCTCAGCACCCCAGCCCTTGGATATTCCCCCACGGGTCTGGGGACCATGACGACCCCAGCATGTAGTGGCTTCATGCAGGGTCAGGTCTTCAGCTGTGTGGTGCAGAGGGGAATGGTGGGGCCAGGCCCAGGTGGGTGGCGGCAGACCTTGGGGGGAAGCTGGGCCGGGGAGTCTGCCAGGCAGGAGGTGCCCTAGGATCTCCTCCCAGGGCCAGGCAGGGGCCTGCTGTGGGGCGGCGGGCAGGACCACAGGGACCTGCAGGGCCATGGGCGGGAGCCAGGCAGTGGGGGCATGTTTGCGGCTGCCAGGGACAGGAGGGTCTCCATGGCCTGGCGGTCAGTATCCCCTGCTGACGGAGCTACTCCAGGTGCTCCTACTCCAGGGGTTCCATCCAGGCCCAGTGGTCCCGTAGCACCTGGTTCCGTGGCTCCATCCGGGCAATGTTCTTCACCCACCAGGCCTGCTCCCATGCCTCCCATTCCTCTACTACCACCACCAGCCACTGGAGCAGCAGGGTCTGGTCCCTGGCACACTGATGGTGCAGCCAGCATATGTAGAACTGCTCCAGTGGTGGGAGTCGGTGACCCTGAGGCAGCATCTTCACTGGGGCTGGTGGGTTCTCCCCCATGTCCAGATATTGGGCCTGCAGAGGCAAGAGGCAGAAGCCTTTTTTGTAAGTTTGCAACATTTCAGAGATAAGATGCTCTCCATCAGGGGATGGCCTCAAATAGGGGGTCGGCTGTGCCATGGTAAGTTGATTAGGCAGGCCTGGGCCCTGGTAGCTACTGACTGAGCCCCACGCCCCCACCTTCCTTCCCTGGGGCAAGCGGCCTGTTAGGTGCTGGCTGCAAGCAGCCTGTCTCCCCCACCCCCTTCCCAGGGTAGGGCAGACCACGCTGCTCGCAGCACCTTCTGCCATGGCTCCAGACTGCGCTCCCTCTGCTCTCTCCCTGCAAGCCACCTGCTCTGCTGTGCTGGTGCCCATCCCCTGGTACCCGGGTTTGTGGTGTACAGGGCTCCTGGTGTCAGGTTTGACCTAGAAACCACTATACAAAGCCCAAGCAAAAGTCTCTGTAACTAATGCCCATCTGCAATGATAAGGAGGGGACAGTCTTAGATAAAGAAGGCTTGAAAACAAAAGCAGAATCAGAGGACTAGGGCAAAGAGCTAATTTAAATATTAAAAATCACACCCCTAGGTGGGGAGAAAGTATGCTAATGAAACATACATGTATGTAAATGAGATACAGAGCTAAAACACAGGTATAGAGACATGCTCAGTAAAGAACTCCTTACGTCACTCCCTTATAACCAATTAGCAAACAAGAATGCTTATGAAGGTCCAATACTCCTGTATAAAAGATGCTTAGAATTAAGAATCTGGGTGCTTGTTACGTGAAATTATTCCGCTTGCACCTTTTACTGCTAGCAATAAATCTTCTTTATACTTTCACCCCTGGTATCTTTATTGGCCTTTGCATACCGGGCACGATCCCAGACTTGAGCTGGGGCTCAACACCGGATAACTGGGGTGAGGGGCTGGTTGTGCCCCCGTCCTCCCTGCAGAGGGCCTCTCCAAGGAGATGCCCCCAGACCAGCTGTTTGTGCAGTTGGAGGGGTGCCTGAGCCACTATGCCCTGCTACTGCTGATTCTGCTGGTGCCCCAGGCACACCTGTGCTCCTGGTTCTGGACTCTGAGCTACGATGGTGCAGGGGGCAAGCCTGGGCTGCCCTGCAACCTCCACCACTTCCTGGAGGGCTACCTGTTACAGCACTACAAGCCCCTGTCCTCCCCCTTCCCCCCTGGTGCAGAGGAGGACATGGCTGCCAGTATCGACACATTTCTTCATGTGTGAGAGGCCCATGCCCACCCACCTGCAGGCCACAGGCTACTCAATAAAGTTCTGAACTGTATCCTTCCTGTCTGCATGCTGTGGGGGTGGGGGAACTCAGAGCCAGGGGACAGTGCATGGATCAGGCAGGGAGCAGGGGCAGGGGTAGAGACAGGGACAGAGAGTCCTTTCCCAGTGCTGGACTTAGCATGCGTGTGGGGCTGGCAAGGCTGATGGCTCAGTCTGGGCCTCCCTACTGGAGACAGCATCTGGCTGTCCCTGCATTGCCATCCCTAGACAGCTGCCAGCAACACCCAGTGCAGAGGCATAGCCAGGGACTGGGAGCCATGTGGCAGAGGCACTTCACCACAGGACCTGTAAATACAGGAGACAGCTGGGGGTGAGCAGCAGCAGGTAACAGGTGCTGGTCCTGCTGGCAGAGATAGACAGGCAGAAGCTATGGGGGATCCTAGGGCTGGGCAAGGGGTGAAGCAAGCTGCAACCCTTTGCAACACACACCTGTGGCCAAGCAGCAGCTCTGGAGGGAAGGACGCCAGGCAGAGATATCCTGTGACATGTCCAGGGGGGGCATACGGGGCCTGCACAGGATCAGCAGTCTTGTCCAGACTCCTGCTGTGTGTGCCCCAGGCCACAAAATGGTTTCTCACTTGCATAGCCTGTAGCTAGAGGCTGCCAAAATGCAGCCCAGCCCTTGGGGAGGAGAGGGGGCCAGCCAGGAACCCTGGGGCTGGGCAGACCTGACAATAAAGTTAGTGTCAGGTCACATCTACACGTGTTAATGCGTTTTAACTAATTGTGCCTAAATTTGCAGGTATCAAATTTAGGCACGATTAGCCTAAATTCACCATTTTTAATGAGCATTAGGGTGTGCATGTATAGACAAATGCCATTAATACACATTAAGTTAGGCTAATACACATTAATGCATCTCATGTAGGCATGCCCACTATGTAATATATGCTGGAAAAGTATAATTCAATTCAGTTTAAATACAGATATGCTGGCCAAAAAGGAAATGATACATTTACCATTTTTCATTACATTAAGGGATTTAATTTTAAAATAGCAAACAAAGATTACCCAATGGCCTATAGTGGTATAAAGATTTTTACTGGTATCAGTTTGGAAGAGCGCCATTGTCAAAAGTACCAAATGCATTAAAAATGTATGTGAGTCATTCCAAAAGACAAACACTTTATATCACTGAACACCATCACATATTTTGTTTATACCACATATTAAGGGAAAACTTATTTTAGAAATCTGACTGTGTTTTTGTCACCAGCTTCGATTACCTATTCCCCTGAAGCCAAGATTCCAACTATCACCAGTTTCATGGCAACAGCCTCAGAAGCACGAATATTAGTATTAGTATTGTAAAGTAATATTTCTAAAAAGAGTATCCTTGATAGCTTTTCTAGAAGCAACAGGGCAATCTTCAGTATCTTACAACTTGGCAGAAGCAATCAAGTTACATCATTGTAATTATCT